ATCTTTTTTTCGAATGATTTCATTGATGAACATTTTGGAATGTTTGAATAACGGAACGGGAATTAAAATTATTGCTTAAGAAGTCGAGTTTCACGGGCACATGTGATTTATCGGTTTTTCCTCGGGGAAAAATTGAAGTTTATTTTTAATGGAGGTTTTATGGTTGATTTGTGATGCGGAGGTGTGTCAAATCGAATTGATTTCGATTATCATAATGAAGGTGATAATTTACATACGCAAGCGATAATTTATTTTCTGTGTTCGGGCCGATTTTAGGAATGTCAAAGCGACATCGTTATCTTAAATAATTTTTATATTATGTTTGACATATTTGTCACAACTGTGAAGAATAATAGCGAGTTCAAGATGGAAAAATTAGGAAAATGAAAAACAGCTTCTTAAACTTTTTTAGTTTATTAGGTATTATAATTTTATTATATCACCATGTTTTCGTAATGAAATCTTACAGAATTAAAACAGAAAACTCTTCATTTGTTGAGGTTAATTTAAATTAAAATTAAAGTGTCAGTTATATGACAGCTTCATAATACCTCAACAGGTTCAAGGATTCGCAGCCAACTTTAAGCATCGCATTTTTTAGTTTCCTTGGATGCAAACTTTGCCATTGCAAAATCATCACATTGTGTTTGGTTTTTGAAAGGGTGTATAAAACATGAATAAATTAAAAAATCTTTTCCAATTATTTTCTTAATAAACGCGCTTAGGATTAAATTAATAACACTTATGTTGTTAACAACACCGCAAATGGGCTTTAATTTTATCAAGTTACGGTATTCAAGTTGTTACGATAATATTATTTACATACTGGAGACCCGAGGCAACAAACACACCGCCGACATTACAACCAAACATGCGAATACGCACCATAAAATTCGGTATTATCAGAGAAATGTGAACGTATCAGATCGTTAAGGTAAATGGGTTAACTTCTGAAAGCTAGAAAATCGGATCTGAATTTCTGAAAATAACCAATGATAAGGTAAATTACATCTTTTTCTATATAAGGATTTCTTGTTAGACTTTTGACATTTTCGTTTTTTTTTTGCGTAATTCGCGTATGTCTCAACCTTGTTTTCGTGTTTTTATGATAAATCATAAAACTGTTGTGCAAAAGAAAAAGGAATGAAGAAACATTTATTATTGGACAGAATTATATATCAGGTGTTTTAATTCGTTATGACAGGTCTAGGTTTATGATGTAAGCGAATTTACATACAAATAGTAAGGTGGATGTGAAGGATTGATGATGATGAGATTTTTTTTTCTGACTGATGTGAATATGGATTGGTCAACTGAAAAATAGGACATATAATTTTAGAATAATTGTCACCAACGGTGTCTTCTATTGTATTCAAGTTTTGCTGATCAGTGTGATATTTTGAATGTATTATTCTGCAGGGGTTAAACCGATTACATATGTGTAATCTAAATTGCAGATTTGATCGATGATATATGTACGTACCCCTTTATGTAGTAGATTTTTTTTAAGTGGGAGTATCTTATTATACAATGGGTATTTTCTCTATTTGAAATGTCTTTTTGTATTTATTGTGTTTATTGCACTAACAAATTGTTACAAAGATCCGTTTTATTTGCTCTTTTAGATGTCATCAGTATACGAACATGATTTTCAAATTATTTCAATCTTTTGTATAATTATACAGTACATTGACACTAACTCAGACACATTATTAACCCCGTAGCGGCGTCAAAAATTGCAGTACACTGTCATCATGATGGTGTGCGTTTAACTTATAATTAACTATTATAAATGAACTAGTGTGGATGTTTATTTTGTAAAAACATTAACAGGTTCTCATATCTGTCCCAAAACTTGACTTTTATTACAATAACTCTATTAGCTATAATTCCTAAAAACTGAACGTTCTAATTAGCACATAGTGTCTTCCTTTCGACTTCACTATTATCTTGCTATAATCCGAGTCCACTAGGTGACTGATATATGATTCCTTCCTCCTATTTTTTTTAAAGGGGCCATCGTGCTTTGAGTGCTCTACATTCAGCGACACTACTGCATCGCGAAATTTTCGCATTCCAGAACGATCTTGACAATACTCCGCATGATTCACGATTGACCCGTATTGTTTGCAAATTCCGGAGGTCTTCGTAAGTAACATGTCATTTAAATTAAGCACACAGATAACAAGTACTATTTTATTCAAAAGAAAACTGGATGAGATGAGAAAATCAGGTTCTCATTGATGACTGAAAAACAATGGGAATAAGACATTCGTGTCAGTGTCATGTGTCCAGTTTTTTTTTCTTTAATTAAATAGTACTCACAATGGACATTATTCCAACTTAAAGCATAATGTTATAAACAGGTGTGCAACACGTCCTGGACGGGAAATTATCGTCTTCATTTAAAACCGAAATCTGAATAATAATAATAATGTTAGAACATTTCGTTGAATTGAGGCTCATTAATAATTTTAGTCTTTTGTTTTGAGGTGATAAACTCAGTCAAATCAAATAAATTTCTATGTGGCATTCTCCCGATCTATAAACATAAACAATTCAAGCACTACGCATGTTGCGAACGGCCATTTTTCCCGTTGGATATGTGTTGTAAATATATTTTACATTGTCTGTGTATTGTGCGGAATGCTTGTGATGCAAGAGCATCAGGCCCCGTCTGGCTTAAATGTAAACGAAAATAAAATTTATTTGTAATTTGGTTATTACAAAAATACAATTTCGCCTGTGTAAAATGCAAAATTGGCCACTTCCGGACGTTCCAGTAATTTATGACTTGCAGCCAGTCAGCCACCCACATAAAAATCTGCCGGCGGCGAACGGCAATGTTTTCTTTTCAGTATCGTTTCTTATTCTTATTTTGCTTTTCTGTTCGTTCAGTAATTTCAAAAGCGTGCGATGGTACCTTGTAGGGCCTGTACTTCAGGCGCGAGAGAAGTTCTTTCGAAAGAATCTTTACCATTTTTTTTTTTGTAGTAAAACTTATGTAAACATACTTTGACCAAATAACACCTTCTAAAAAAAATATACACTCTCTTTAACCTCAAGAGTTTTGTTCTACTCCATACAGATCTATCGTGAATTATGCTTTATAGCAAAGGACCATCTAGTTTTATTATCATTAATACTAATACAAAAATTGATATATCGACGATATCACGAATGAAAAAAACGAAAGACTCGTATTATCATTTTAGATTAGTGATCTAACCCGGAAACTACATATTGATGTCAATAATATCGTATTCTAAAATGTATAAAAATACTGTCTAAATTGATACAGATATTCATTTAAAGAATTGATATACGTTTTGATGGGGACCGACATTCATTTTAATATGTATATAGATAATGTAACCTAATTTCACTATATTGACATAATTTTAGAAAAATTGCAGGTAAGATAATCGATAAAATGTATTTGTGCATAACATAGTACCAAAACATCACACATTTTTAAAACTAGGAGTAATTTTTTAATAAATATTAATTTTTTTGAGATAACGTCATCAACCTTCAGGATATATAAATAAATAAATTTTAGCTAGATGTTCGGTAACCATTAATTCTATGTTAAGTGACTTACTAACACTTCAAATAACTCTTATTTAATAATAAATCTGTAAATTTTATTGTTTTGCAATAACCAATATGCGTTAAGTTAAAAATATGAATACGTTATGAAACGACAGGTAAAGGAGCACGTTAAACTATAAATTTCATTTAGATTTATTGAACAAAATTAATTTGGGTGTGACGTCACAAATATTTGGAAGGGATAGGTAGTCAAAGTTTAATTAACTCGGTAACACGGTAGTCTTAAAATACTTCTAAAATTCCAAAATATTGAATTTTCAAATTAAGAGGTTGTCTATGTCTAATAAAATCACCAACAGAACGCGGAAAACGGAAAAAAACATTTCGTATATTTGAAATTAAAGATTAGTCATAACACTTTTTTTTTGATACCTAGGCCATTTTTATCATTAACATTTATTGTTATAAAATGTATGGGATTTGAAGACAAAGATCGACTATATTTAACGAGAACCATCATGGTACAGCGAAGATACAACATGACTTACGTTAAAAAACTGATATTTCATTTTGTAAGTAGATTTTCAATTCATATTCCAAAAATAATATTGAAGGTCTGTTAGAATCCATGTTTGACGTCAAGTAAGGATGTTGTAAAACCGGGAATTCGTGCGATAGATCAGCCCAGAGTTTGTGTACAATTATGTAATTGGTATGCTTGGAATGAAAAGCTGACATTTCAAAGTAATCCGGTTGTAATTTTATCGGATGTTTGAAAGTCTTATCACAATCCATCAGTGTTATATGTCACTTTTGATAATTGGATGACGATATTGAAAGTTAATAATTTCAAAAGCTGCATAATATGTTTTTGTACCTTTCGATTCCAAGAACTCGAACAATATCGATTCTTTTTTATAAAGACATCAATGATATTCGTGAGAAAAGCTTTCATCGTTGATGATCGACAAGATGTCTGAATTCTGTGTGGTATTTTACACGACATGAATGTATTTACCCAATTAAAGAAACAAAAAAAATGCATGTCCTAATTATCAGCTATATCGGTGTGGTTTATCTCGTTCAAGGCAATTGTTTCCTTCTCCGTCTTTTTAATAAAATATGTTTCTATTTTCGCAAGGTAAATCCGTTCATAAAATGTAACATATTGCGTGACCGTCTGGTTTTGTTTGCTTTCTCAGCGTGTGTTTGTTGTTAGCATAAAGAGGCAGTTTTTGTTTAAACGAGGAAAAAAAGCGGAAATTTTCCGTATCGGATGAGTAATAATAGGTTCTTGCAAATAATTCGTTCAACCTTTAAATTTTACACACATTAGGACGAACGTTACAACGAAAATTGTCCTTAACCTTACTTGACACACGCAGTGAATAATTATCGCCATTATCGTTACGAAAAAAATTAATTTTGCTACTTTTTTGTTGCAGGTGCTGTAGTTTGTAACCTGGTCAGTCATCAGCGTGGGTGGACGTAAGTGATTTAACATCGCATGCCGATTAATTTCATATCACGAGAAGATTGCTTAAATTGTAGCCGATTATAGTAATTTCGTTGTTTCGCGTAGTTAAGGGCGAACTTTTTTTAGCGCGAACCGCAGGAGTCAAAAACTTTTTGCAAAAAAAACGGACCTACGTTTTCACCGAATATCTAAGTATATGGTGCCGTTCGAAAATTTTTAATTTGGATGAAATTTTGTACGCATAGTTAACAATAATTTATTACAAAAAAGGTCTGTCCAATTTGCAATCAACAATACCATATTTAGACGGATTTTTTTTAAATTCGTGTTAAAAGACAAGTGCATTTGTTTGACTAAGGAGTTGAAGTACTAGAAGATTCTGTCGGATGTTGTTGCTATGCAACCGATACTGAATCTAATGTACAACTTGTCATTAAACTATAGCCGGGTCGCCTAGTAAATTATATCGAGACGGACGTTGGTACGCTCGTAAAGCAGAAGTAGAGACAGCAAAATTATACCAAAATCTTGTTTTGAAAAACTATACACGTGCGGAAAAAATATCTCTAAAAAATTTTTTACTATACTAATCTCGATCTGATTCATCGCCCAAAATATATGTAAAAATTGTTAAAAAAATCGTTTTTCAAAATTATGCCACGAGAAAAAGAAAAAAAGTTTATTTTGCAGTTGGTGCTCAAAGGACTCGCCATTTACTTCGTGACAATAAAAATCCTCGAACGTATTAATGTTGTTAACGTTAAATTATACACATAAAAAGTTAATGAAAGTTTCACCAAAAAATTAATGAATCGTGTAATGAAAAGCATTGCGAAAAACATATCCTTTAATCTGTACAAAGTATTGGTTGTGCTTCAGAGGGCGAGGAAAATACTGTACCAATTCTGTACAAATTATTCCTGCTTGACGTAGCACCATATAAAACTCATGAGCCATGCATTTGGTATGAGAAACTTCGTGGCTGTGTTGTCAATTAAATGTTATTATTTTTTAAATCCGTACATGAATCTTGTTTATTACACAATTAATCTGACGTTTTCTTGAGGTTTTATACATCCTAGAAAAAAACTGCGTCATTCTTTTCCCTCTACCTGTGGTTTGTTGGCGGTTTTACAATGATTGTTATTATTAATTTTAGATATATTTAAAAATATCCGAAACCAATCACTCCCATTTTTTAACTTTAAAACACATCGGTTTTTAGCAAAAAAAACGACATTTTGCAGTTTAACTTAGAATCTATGTAATCGATTGATCTGAAATTTTATAAGTCACTGCCAAACCAGAATTGGTCTATTCATCCCGACGTCATCTCACAACTTTGCCAAGTAAATCTCGTTTGAATTTTATAGAGTGGCATGCTCCTGTATTATAGGATATCTAAAAAAAGAGAAAAAGCAATTTATTGTATCGATTAAATCAAAATCGGTTTGCCTAATTTTACAAAAATGGCGGATACACAGTGGTGTTGCTATTAGTGTTACATTGTCTGTGTATCAAAAGTGTCCCCACTAAAATATTGATTCACAAAATTTTATTAAGAAATTCTTAATCGAAACATATTGTATGCTCCTTTAACTGTAGTTTAATCACGCATCCATAGTTTGATTTTAATAAGTGGAAATTATCGTAAAAATTAAATTATTGATAGAATCATATTTTATAATGTTTCTAAATGTGACTTGTATTTTGCCAAAAATTGTTGTCAAATATTTCTTCCATTCAAAAAGAATTTTAGAATATAATTTCAACTTCGCCCCTGGTCGATTTTAAAATCCCAAATAAAATCAGTAATAACAAAAACCTCGCTCATTAAAATTTCAATAAACGTTTTATGAAGGTAATAAAGAAAGATTTTTTAACTTAAAGAACGTTAGTAAATGTAATAAAAATTACGCTGTTAGAATCGGTGAAATTTGGAGAGTTCAAAAAAGTAACTTCTTTCATAAAATGCATTGCTTATAACCAGGGTTAGGCACAGCCGAAGTTATGGGGAATCAATCAGACAAATATTTAAAACGACGGCGCGACATCAGGCGATAAATTTGGCTGAGCGACTGTGCAGTCTCAACCTCAGTGGCGTTTGATGCAATTGAGGGGTTATCTAATCAAGATCATCACGAAAATTGTGATGTTGAACAGTCATTTTTAATTTTTAAAGCATCTAGGAGAACTCATATAACTGCGGAAAACCTAGGAAAAATTGTAATTGTTATTTAGAATTCCCGAAATTGTAGGCCACGACTACAATAGCGCTAGCGATCAGACGGCAATGAAAATCACTTCCGCAATGCCAAAGCCTGCTTATAACCTATAAGTTTTGTGCTTTGTCAACTTAAAGCAGATCAACAATATACTGTAACAAATGTTCTTTTTACAAAACTCTTTAAATGATGGAGGAGGTGTTGCTGCAACAAAAATCGATTGTGATTGTCCAAAAGTAACAATTTGGAGTTAACTGGAACGACAAATTTTGTAGGAAAAGTTATTCTACGTGTTACACAAATTTTTATTTGCTTTTTATTAACATTTATGTTGATATACATGCGTAATGACATACAGTGCACTATAAATAAGTAATTGAAAACAGGTTGACATTTGGAATAGGTTAACATTTTCTAAACGTATTTAATAAAAATATAGAACACAAGCTACCACTAAAAAATAGTACAGATGTGCTAAATATACATTTTGAATCGGTTTTGCAGTTACCTTTTTGTCTCTAAAAAGTGGGTGGAACTAGGTAATTAAAATTTTAATTTGACATAAACGTTTACTCTCTATTACTGCTTGGCAGTAGGCTGTTTTCCATTGGAAATAAACGACATTTTATGAGATTCAAAGAAGAATATTTTTCCTGATGTTTTTGTTGTTTTGGCACTATTGGTCGTTTCCATAAGTTTGTGGTTAATTAAAATGAAATAATTGTAGTTGGTATAAACGCCCCTATGGCAAAGTTAAAGCTCATAACTGTTGAATGATCGCAATTTAGCCAAAATTATTTCGTCATGAACCTACCTTGGCCTACAAACTTATTTTGCAAAATTTTAACAAAAGCCGACAACGCGGGAAACTGTCCGGTACCGATCCGTACAAATATATCGAGGAGGCGTGGACAAGGAACGCAACATAAATCATAGGTGCTCGTTGCACATCCGCGCATTCACTTGTCTTGTCAACACACACGCACGCAAACACACACACACATTACCTCCTTTCCTCCTCGTGCTGCCGTATCTCATCTCGAATCTCGGCCGGCGTGCTCGTTAACGTATAACAAAAAACAAGAGAGAATCGTTGTCGTTGCGTTACGTCTGGTTTCTCCTTTTTCGGGAAGCGACAAGACGTTGTTGTGCAACATGTGGTGGCGCCTTTGTTTCCAAGCGTTGCGCAACAAGGCGGATGGTTTCTGGAAAGTTCGCGGATCGAGTGGTGTTCGACGCGAAAATTTACGTTGGCAGGAGAGGTGTCGATTTTGACGAAATGCCAAAAGGGAGACGCGGTGTCGACGGGTCGGATCGTCGACGCTTCAAAATAAATAAATATGAAGAAATTTCAGTGTGGTCGCTTCCCGTGAAGTAAAAGGAAAATGTGCGCTTCCGCTTTCGGCGACTTTGTTCGGAATCGATAGCGTGACAGAGGGGGGAGGAGGCGGCGATGCGAGATAAAAGAAGTAAAAAAAAAAACAAACCGAAAAAAATATTTTGGCTGAGGCTAAAGCGGGAACGAGGACGAAATACTAAACTGAGAAATGGAAGAACTTTTTACCATTCGTCGAACAGACTGGCAAATAATTTTTACTGCTTTTTCGCAGGACGATTTTTTTTGATAATCTCGTAATACAAAAAATAGACTAATTTCGCTTTGGCCAAACACATTCTAGAATATAAACATTTTTTCGACCCAGTTAAAAGGTTAAAGTTCTACACTGCCCTCAACTTTATTGAAATTTTAGAAATTTATAAATTTAAATCGTGTAAATGAACAAACTTATTTTCAACACTCCCATTCAACCCACCCTTGTCTCTAACTTCGATGTAATTACTAATTACTAATTACCGATGGCTAGTCCCCTATCAGCTTGTGCCTTACCCTTCAATTAGTTTTTTGAAACATGTGAAAACCTTTAATATGCTGTCAATATTATGTTTTTCATCATTAAGTTACAACTTTCTAATGGCACAAACACCGCAAAGAGTACACCCTTCCAGAGGCATTTTCAAATTTTATCCACCATCCGCTAGAGAATTTTATAGATCTAATTCTCACACTATTTGTTCCTTTTTTTTCTTTTCTCATTCGCATCATGAAGTTGTGGGTAGCCATCAGTGACATTACCCCCTTTTTAATATTTAAACATAATGTCAGTTTTATGTTTCACGAATCCTATGGTAAATGTTCACATATTTTTGTCGTTTGTTACCTAATTTCCTGTTTTCAGCATATAGCTCGGTGATAATGATACTAGTCTAAATAAACTCCAAATACATGTGGTGTCGACTTATTTCTTCTACGTTTTAAATAAATAAAAAAAAGATCTGTTTCAGCATTTTCAACAAAGACTGTTATAGTTTTGAAATTACTGAAATTATTTCATGGGTATTCACACCTTGTATTCACATTCATATTTTTCTGACGTTGGTTATTTCGGCAGATATCTTTTCCTCTAATTTAAAATTTTCCGGTGCTGTTTAGATAATCCCCAGATAACAAATTTTGAGTATTTTCTAATTCTTTGTCTTCCAAGAAAATTCGTGTTTTCCTCCCGTTTGTGGCGTTTGGTTTTACCGTCATTTGTGTAGAGTCCTATTTTTTATTTTACCTTCATATTGTTTGCATTTTTTCTGCATGTATACATTTTCTTCGGTAGCAGGGCCACATCGCCGGCAAGTTCCAGATCTTAAAGTCATGCGAAAGTATTCCACAAAATTCCAGTTTTGTTTTTCTTTGACTTTATAGTATCCATTCTATTAGTATTGGAATAAGAGAG